CTTTTCAGTTAAGCATCTTCAGGAATATATTTCTTTCTGTATCTCCAGGTTATTTGGCGTTACAGGAAACTGTGCTGCCTGCAGTAAGCTCATACCTGCTTTTGAGATGGTGATGAGAGCAAAGGACAATGTTTATCACCTGGACTGTTTTGCATGTCAGCTTTGTAATCAGAGGTAAGAGAATTTCTTGGGTCTGTTCCATAAGCTAAGTGCTAATTCAGCACTGGTGTGGTCATACATTCCAGAGAAGAGGAAACATCTACCAGCAATGGAAACCCAAGACTGAGCGTAAGACCTGGATACTTTTCCTGGGACTGATACAGAACATTTTTCATGACCTTGGCCAGAAAACTTTTTGTGCCTCAAATCCCGCATCAATAAAAAAGAATAATGTTACTTCCTCTCCTTCAAAAGGCTGTCTGTCAAGTTTAATTAATTAATATTTATAAAGGTCTTTGAGATCCTTTTCTGCAGAAGAGTGTAGCAGTACCATTTGTCATTATTGCATTAATTTCACTTAATTCTTCATTTTTATCACATGTATTTCTTTTAAAGTACACATTGTTTCTTCCTGTTGCCAGAACTGTAATCATTTAAATTTAAAAGATGTTGTTCCCACCATTTCCTCTGTAGCAGCATTGGACCTCTCATAGACCTATTTTTATTTCCTTATCTTAACTTTAGGTTATAAAAATCTCGAGGATCCAAACCTGATACTTTGTTCTGAAGCCTTGCCCATGTGGCACAGCTGGAGAACAAATGTAAATAATGGTAAAATCGTAACAACTGATTTTTTCAGAGGTGAATGCAGCCAAATTTATACCAACTACTCTCAGAATGGTGGCCAAATCCTGTCAGACATTTCACCGAAAGCTCCATTTCTGACTCCACGAGAGCTGCCGGCAGCTCTGCCAGTGACTTCTATCAGGTCTAGGAGCTGAGACAGCCAATTACGTCCTCTCCCTAATGTTCCTATTATTGTCAGTTATTTTTCATTTATTACATGATCTTTTTTAGCATTTTATGGCATTCATATTTTTTTCAGTTTCAGCTGGGAAGAAACACAAGATGTACATTTCTGAGGTAATAAAAATTAGGAAGATAACCCTCTAACATGACAAAGTTAGACACAGCTCTAAATAAGCTTTCTTAACTCACCTTGTCCTACAGTTTATTATTTTTTAACACTGTAGTCATTTAAAAATCAAACATCCCTAAAGAACCATAAAATGTACAGCTGCTAATAAGTGTAGCACACTACAATTATGCTCTTTAAAAAAAGCCAAATTGACCTTTTTCATCATGTTGCATGGGAAATTAAAATACCAGGCAAGTAATAACCGCCGCTTAAACTATATAATAATGCAAAGTAATTATAGGTTCTAATGCTATTTAAAGTCCTATATCAATTTTGTCTTGCTACAGAACTAAGAAACTCTATTCTGAACAAGGCAGACAGAGGCTCCCATAGCACCCATTTAAGAAAGACACACACACTCTCCTAGGTTTCGTTTCTTAAACCCTTCACATCCCTGTTTTTTTCCAAACCACAGTTCTAGTATCATTATTAAAGCCCCTAATATATTTCTGTTGTTCGCTTCATTTATTACATGCCATAATGGGCCTGCATATCTTTAGTGTTGGTTATGCACAATTAGCACTTAGTTATTGTCTTGTCACTTCAGCCCATACAAGACAAACTTCTTTAATGTAAGAAGTCAGCTAATCTTCATCAGTCAAGCAAAGCAGACAATGTTTGTTAGCCAGAGTGCAAAAGATTTTCATCATAGTTAGCACTCATGGATCTGAGGAAGTGAAATTTCTTTTTTCTCCCCCCTCTCCCCCCCCAAAAAAAGAAAAAGCACAGCTGTTGTAATTATTTTAATATTCCTCTTCTACCATTACAATTGTGGACTAATGTACAATTTCACTGCAGCTAATACACATCACACTGTGCTTTGGGGCCACTGACCCCCTGGAAAAGTGCTGTGAGGTGCTCCTGAAATGGAGCTTTACTGGGACATTTAATAGTGCTTAGCCTCATTATTCCTGAGCCTTCAATCTAGTCTTTTATTTTATTTTTACTTTCCACGTAGTTTGGGCAAAGGGTTCCTGAAATAGTCTTAAGGTATCTTAGACTAAAACAAAAGAATCAATTTACCTGAAATACAGTGTAGTTCATCTAGTGAAAACAGGGCGTGGTTCTAGAAGTTCCAAAGAATTTCAGAAATTCTCAAAAGTGACCCTAATCCTGATTATATTGCAACAGCTATCATGAAGCCTATTAAAGCAGACTGCCTATAGGGTACCTTTCTTCCTCACAATTTGGAGCTAGGGGCACTCTGAAGAATTAATTTTGTTGTTTTCTTACAATAAATCCTATTTCATGGATGCTCCAACATAGCTCTTCTGTTGTTCCTATGGCAAAGCATCCCACTGACTACATTCTCCCTTTAATATCTTCAAATCTTTTGTTTTTCATCACTTGTGTAACAATAAAACCCTGAAATGGTAGACACCTGACACATCACCAATTTTGGAGTTTTTTACATTTACTATGAAACCTTTTTCTCTTTTCTTTTAAACTGAATAATCTTGTCAGTCACCATGTCATTAATAATTTCTGTTGTCCTTCTTAGGATCCTTTTTTCTTCTTTTAGTTAAGCTAAACAAAATCAAACAGCAGATTCTGAGTAAGGATGAGTTTATAAGATAACAGTTCAACTTTATTGAAAGTTAGACTTCGGCGCCTTCATATGCAGAATAATGTAATTGAGAGTCTTTAGGTTTGCTCTTTCCTTTCACTTCAGCCGCTAATTTCAGTAATCCAGAATTTATTTATTGAAGAGAACATTTTTATTTATAAACACATCAGCAATATCCAAAAACTACCAATGGATGTAGCAAGGCTCACCAGCTATTGCAAGACCTGTATGTTTAGCCGTATTCCCCAATTTCACATTCTCTTCTCCCATTCAATTTTAAATCCTTTGGGTCATTCTCTACAGTAGTTCTTCAGAGTATATAATGCTCTTTGTTTGGTTCCACATTTCCCTTTCAGTTATTAAATACCATTTAGGTTTTTCCCTGACAGAACATATGCAATGTTCTTGAGCATACAAAATTGTTTCTTCAGTTTGCATTACTTTGTCTTTGCCAACACTGAATTTCTTCTGACATTCTGTGCCTGGTTGCTCCTTCCAGTCCCTTCTACCATCCAAGCCAGCTAATAATTTTATTAACACTGATGCTTGGGGCAGCCCATTCTTCAGGCTTGCTATTGCATGACCCTCACATTCCTACCCTTTAAATAGTTGATCCTGGCCCAGTGAGAGAGATGCCTGCCTGTTTTTGCCGAGTGCTTTTGTGAAAGACTTGGCGGTTTTTCTGCTTTTATGTACAACTTCACTGTTTGCTTTTTTAGTTTCGAGTACCTACAACTCACCATCTGGAGCAAGTCTCAGCGTGGATGGTAGTTAGAGCCCCTTGGTTTCGGAGGACTTTTTTTTGGGCCGTGAACTCCAGATCTGAACTAAGTCATAACATGCCTGTCCCCTCTTATTGGCCTCCTGAATCTGACATTTGCAGAGTGAGGAGAAAGAGGCATTGTCTCACATACTGTATTCCAAGAAGACAGACTGTAGACAGAGACAGCCTGAAAGAGATCTCCTGAGCCACCAAGCCTAGTCCCCTGGTGTCAAATAGGCACTGTCTCCTATTTTCCCTTTCATAAAGCTATTCAGCCTTGAGATCTAATCACTCCATCAAGCCAGTTGTTGAGATATTTCCCTCATTTTTTTCTTGATACTGATGCTTACAGCTGTAGCAATTTTGTGAATATTAAGCTCTGCTCATAGCCTAAAGGTTTTAGCATCCTCTTATCTCTCATGTCTCTGTCCAGCTTACTCCTAATTTGAAGTTTTTCCATCACCTAAATGCCCGCAGAGCTTAGTGACAGTCATCTTAATGGTGTGAGTGTTCCCCTTTCTTCTCTGCAAACATATTAAACTTCTCCTCAGAAGCCACTCACCTCATATTGACAGTAGCTTCAATATACTTAATTTCTGCAGAAAATTTAAAGGGGAAAAAAAGAAAAGGAAACCACTGGAAAAATAAACTTGTAAACAGACACTGCCATTCACACTTTGTCAGGTTGCATGTGTGTGACTAGCAAAATGGAGTGGAAAATCTTGCAAGTGGGCTCAGCTGTATCTTTGCTTGACACTTTTGACTACAGCAATGATGTCAGTCTGCCTTCGGCTTTCCCACTTTCCAGAGTTTATGTCTCCTGCCTTTCACTCTCTGTCGGCATCTTTAGCAGCTTGTTCCATATTTCTGAGATATTTTCTCTCTGCCGTTTGAAGTCAACTCAGGGTATGGTTTAAAGCCCCCATCTGCTATCACTGAGAGGTGTTTAAATCTACTGTTCTACCCTTCTATCTGAAATAGCCTTTATTTTTAATGGGAACTGGACTGAAAATGGTTACAGACTCATTCAAATCGCTGTCCTGATGTAGCTGTAAACACCTCCAGTATAAACTGTTAAATGTCCACACAATGCTGCCTTTGTTCTCTATCAAGTGGGGGGGAGGGAATGCAATTCAAGGGACATCCTTATTTCAAACACCAATACTAGATTTTTTCATGAGTGGTCATTTTATAAATTCTGAAGGCCTGAATACTGCTTATTTTCATTGAGTGTCTCTAAATTTATAATAAAAATTAGTACATTGTCCATACCTGCTGTTTAAAACGTAGTAAATGAAAAGCACACCACTTTGAGATTTGTCATTATGAGTTGAACTGGGTTCTGTGTGTATGTACACTCCATCGTACTGGTGAAAATGTACAGACCCAGGCACAGATCATATTTACCAGACTTTGAAATGGACATTTTGACAGAACCCCAGAATTAGTAAACCAGAGGTGTGGACTGATGAACTGTGATGCTAAAGGGTGGCTTAGTTCTCTTAGCGATGCCGATAGAGTAATGTTAGTGTGAGTTATAATGGAAACGCAAAGAAACTTTTTAAAAAAAAGAGGAAAGGGGGAAAGCAGAGGACAAGTTATATCACTGATTGCAAAAAGCAGAAGGGAAGGGTGTGGGTGTGGTAAGTCTGAGATTCCTTTATCTTTGAGGAAATCAATTAAATGCTTCCAGATTTTGTTTCTTTCTACAACAAAGATCTGACTTAACCGGAGGAGGCAGACACACAACCATCTTTGTTCACAGCAATATTTCTCTCACTTTCTTAAGAAGCCTTCAGTACCTTGACATGTATCTTGTACATCAGAAAAGATGACAGACAGCAGTGAGATCTCCTTAAATATCTGTTCTGAACAATGAAAGAACTATTTCTAAAAATGGGAGTTTTATACTTCTTGTGATTAGTCTAGGCGCACCTTCCCCTTCCAAACAAGGTGATAACAGAGGTCATTTTGTGATATAAATGGCCTTCCTTTTGCCATTGTAAAATACGACAGGAGTTCTAGGATGTAGGTTAATTATAATGGTCATTCTACTAATGTCACAGTCGTGTCAAAAGTACTATTATCAATTTATGGTGGTAAGTCCAATCTGGCATGTTAATGCAGCCTATTGCATATTCTTTCCCGTTTGTCTCGCATGCCTATTAAAGAAATTGGGTGAGGGTTTTAGGGAAGGCTGAAGACTACCATCTGCCTGCTAGAAGAGTAATAGTCTTGCCTAATTATATACTCCTAACACAGTGGCATCTTCATATGCTCCTTGACTCCATTTGATATACATGTCCAAATTGTACCCTGATTTACATCCTATGCCAATTCCATAAAAAACCCCCAACCTTAGTGGAAGGCTAGGCTCGAATTTACCCTTCCATTTAAAGCTAAACTGGCTTTAAATCTTAGAGTGTGTAAAACCAATCTGCAGTAGTTATAGATCTAGCTCTTTCACTTCAGAGGAAGCTAAATCTGTTTTTGAGAGTCAAATAAGGTTGAAAGTGTGAATGGACAGAATTTGTCATACTTCATCTGCCTTCTTGCCTTGTCTCATTGTACCTGGGAGCTAGCATGCCACGATTATAGGTTTTTCACCTGGTGCTTACCTCTTTGTCACCTAATGAGTGCACAATTCACACATTTATTACTCAGGGGCCGGCATGAGCCTCACTGTCAGTCTTTGCCAAATATGTTTCACTAGCTGAACTTGCACCATATGAAAACAGTTGCAGAATTTGGACCACAATTATTGCAAGTAACAGGTTTCCCCCCAGGCACAAAGGATCATCCAGGTGAACCCAGAGGATGTCTTACCATGCAGACAGACCCCCACCCCACAGGTTATCAAAAGCCAAGCGTGTCTAGACAGGCCACTGGCAGCCTCTCCATGAGACAGCTGTACACTGGGAAGGTAAATGATTTGTGGAACTGTGTATGTTTAAAGCCATTCATGCATAAAGCTGTCAAATGCCATGTAGACACAGGTAGAGCATTTCTGGCTCGACATATTAACATTGCACAAGCAAAAGGCATTGACAGTTTTTATTGGGAAAGGCATCCTGACACCCCCACGTAGCTGGTGCAGTTTAATTCCAACTGTGTCACTTCTCTGAGGGCTGAGAAACGAAATCCTCCAGCCAGGATTTTGATGCAAGCAATATTGCAAGAAGTCACACGTGTGAGTAGTGCCGAGCAAGTGAATTGCACTTAAGCAGCGTCTTTTTCATTTACTAAATATTTTAAACAAATTAGCCTGCTAAGCTTTTTATTACTCTGGAACACAAAGGAATACATAGCTGAATAATGTTCACAGTTCAGAGTTAGTGTTTTCTGCTGGATGTAGAGGTGGTTTTGTCTCCCACTGGTGACTGACCCAGCAGGAGAGACACCTTGCTGTGCAGTAACCCTCTGATGTGGTGGGCACTGCCAGCCTGGCAGCTCCTGCTCAGTCTCCATCATTAATCCGTGGGCAAACTGTAACAGAGTGACTGATTTGTCACAATACAATAACTCTCCCTGCTTTTAGTCCATATTAATCCATATGTTCATTTAAGAGAAACTAAGAAGAAGTGGGTTTAGGGGTTCTTTGTTTTAGTTTAATGTTACTTCTTTGGGAAAAATAAATTTACATATTGGCTCTAGTTAAGACTCTTTTACTTAATCTTGTAAGATACACAAAAGGATTTTTTTTGGCATTGCTGTAAATGGACAAAATTACAAAATGTGGGAACTAGAAAAAACACCAAAGAACAACTTTTCTGCATGAGTTCTACATTTCAACATAGCTACTCAAAATCATTTGTGTTGTTAGTAGTCTGGTATACCAGGATTGGGGTGAGAAGAATAACAGGAATCTCTAAATTCTGTAAAAGAGTCTTGACCATAAATAACTTAAAGATTTCGAGATCGTTCCCTAATCTTTATTTTCAATCATCATCATCAGCAGGCAGTAATCCTACAGAAAAAAAAAAAAGTCCACAAATAAACAAACCAATTTTCCTTTAAGAGCAGAGCTAATTCTTTTCAATCCACTTTTTTATTACACTATTTTCCCTCTATCTATGTAGCTAACATAAGGATAAATTTCCAAAGCTACCCAGTTGGAAAATAAATGGGTTCAGTGTTTGTCTAGCATTCCAATCTTCACAAATGTAAATCAGTCCAACTGCTACTCATTTAAACCTCCAACTTCACAAAACATTAAAGGACTGCTTTCCAGACACAATTTAATCTGTGATAATTCACCAAGATTTCTGCTTGAACATCATTAGAGATTGACTATCTGATAAAGACAGACCACTATCAGAGGTCAGATGGGTCAACCTGTGTCATCTACGGAGTTTTACTGGGTCAACTACAGTAGGCACCATTGTTTGAAGGTTAAATTGTTACAATTAAATACATATACAGCTATTCCCACAGCTATTCTGCTGTTAAATCTACCGTAAACAACACAAGCATTTATATCTGACCCTAATTGTGTCCAAGATGTCACCATTTGGAAATTATACAAAAAAGGACATTATAATCCATTACACATTAAACAATACTTTATGTAGTGAGATCCATAATTAGCTGGTAGAGGCTGGTTTCATTTATTCACATCAGTGTTAAGGGGTTCATTTAGGTTACTTTCTTTCATTTTAATTGGAATAATGCGAGCAGTGCCTCCCAATATATTTTATAGCTGGAGAGTTCACTATAAACAAAGGCATGTAACCCTGCCAAGGCAGTCACTAGGGAAACGTTTTCTCTGTGTTGGCCCTATTCACTTATTTCCTAAGTATCTTCAAGAAGACTGGCTTTGTCAAGGGGAAGGGTTGAGGGCATGTCAGGGAAGAGCCTTCTTAAATTCGAGTATACTGCTTAGCTGGGAAATCCTACTTTACTTGAAGTTTGAAGCCAGCCAGCCAGGAGCATTAACATTATGTGACTTTCCTAGTCATCAGAGAAAATCAAATGAAACCTCTCAGAAGTGTTTTGTAGCAATCAGATCATTCCGATGCACGTAATAGTATAACAAGGTAGGTACGCTGATACCACAAGAGAGAGAGCAGTTAGCTGTGTAACTAAATTTATAATCAGCTCCTAAAGGAAAAAAAGAAAAAGGTTTCTCTGCATGCCTGCGTGCTTCTGGTTTGCACCACAATATATGTAAATTTGTGTGTGTGCTAGGAATGGTTCTCAGAACCACCACTTTAAATCAAATCTAGCGAAATATCCGACTGGGATGTAAGGAGAAACTGGCACGCCTGCACAGGGCAAATATAACGTGTCTCAGGCAAGCTTTCTGCTGCATATGATCACTTTGTTTTCTTTGCTTTTCTTCTGATTTGTACGAAAGCGGGACATTTACTTTTCACTGAACTCAGTAGCCTGGGATATTTATCGTGTTTTATCTGTGTGCCATTGACCTGATCCAAGACTCCCACAGTCTTCAGTGGGCTTTGAATGAAGTCTTTGGCCGGGGAAGCAAAAGTGCTCGAATGCACTAGGTTTTGCTGAAAGCGCAGGATTCATTCTGGTACCAGAGCAACTCCTCTGCTGGGCTTTCACACACATGCACACATCCGTGTGTGCTGTACAGACAGAGCAACTCCTCTGCTGGGCTTTCACACACATGCACACATCCGTGTGTGCTGTACATACAGAGCAACTCCTCTGCTGGGCTTTCACACAGGTGCACGCGTCCGTGTGTGCTGTACAGACAGCAGTGGTGTGAGCCGGGCGGTGCAACGAGACCATGAACACTTGCTGTACTACCCTTACACGTAAGATCATATCACACCGTTTATCCTCAGACTATATCTCTTTTTTCTCTTTATTATTGTAATTTCAGATTTTGTGTTGGAGACAAATTTTTCCTGAAGAACAACATGATTCTCTGCCAGACAGACTATGAGGAGGGTTTAATGAAAGAAGGTTATGCGCCCCAGGTTCGCTGATTGGATGCCACACCACTAAGAATAAAAAGCACTATGTTCTTTTATCTTTTTTGCTCAACATGTATATAAGAAATGACACAGGAACCTACTGAATAGCATAGATATAGGGAGACTGAATGGTTGCGTGACATAAAAGGTGGACTGCATCTGTATGTAGTGAAAATTGCTCCAGTTCAGAGTTGAATGTTAATTAAAAAGGTACTGTACATACAGCTGGATTCTTTTTGCTTGCTCTTGGGGTTTTTTGTTTGTTTGGGCTTTTTTGTTTCTTTTTGTGTCACTTGGCATGAGATGTTTATTTTGGACTATTGTACATAATGTATTGTAATATTTGAAGCACAAATGTAATACAGTTTTATTGTGTTACCATTTGTGTTCCTGTTTGCTTCTTTGTATTGTTGCATTTAGTACAATCAGTGTCTAAACTTACTGTATATTTATGCTTTCTGTATCTACCAGCTATTTTAAATGAGCTGTATCTTTCTAGTAAAAAGCATTAAAGAGCAAATCCCAACCATTATGCTACACTTAGAGCTTAAGAATACTGTTTACATTAAAACTATTTAGAAAACTAATAACTAGCAGCACCTGCTGCTAATGATGCTATGGTTAAGGGTCTATCAGCACTTCTGTTATAAGCCTCTATTTTTCAGGGGTTAAGCATCTGCTGTTTAATTGCATAGATTTTCCTCAAAGAGCACTTTTATTTTACTACAAAATTTTGAAAAGCAAATCTGACTGGTTTGGGATATATTATAAAAAGTGCAAAAGTTAATGATTTTGGGTGCTGCTTTTGCACCCTGTAGGCATTTCAAATGCCTGGATTTGATTTTTAATTTAGCTGGAAATTAAGCCCTAATGCAAACCAGTGCCTCTGGGTATCTTATTTTTTATATATATATAAATATATATATATATATGTTATTTTCTGAAATCATTTAGTTTGGGGGCAGGGGAAAGGAAAGGGAGAAGACTTCTGTTTATATACATTTTTAAAAATTCTTAAAATTTGACAGGTCTCTCTCTCCCTCTCTCTATTTCCTTTTTCTCTTGTTTTCTTTTTTTTTTTTTAATCAGGGCTTAACCCTAAAGTTTTCTGGGGCTGTGTGCTCAACAAACCCTGGAAAAAAGTGAAAGTAGAAGGCACTGTAAACAGCCCCCTCTGAGGGTGTATTTACATTAAAGAAATGACCCTGAGCTGACACTAGGAGAGTGACTGGTTACTAATTACCCATCTCAGTGAAAGCTGAAGGTAATTTAAATGCTGATGTGGATGGGACAAAACTTTGCAATACCAATACAGAACGGGAGAGCTACCACTCTCGACTGCATAGGTACTTTGCTGTCCATGTCAACATCCTGCACGTTATTCCCATCAATACTGGCAATTAAAATCCTTTAGGCAGAGGTGAAATCACTGCTGACAGCTCCTGTTGGCAACCAGTCCATTTTCTAGGAGAGGTGGACCTCTGTTTTTAAAGCCATGAAGCTATTGCATCAGCAGGATGTCCCTAAGTGCTCGTGCCCTGACAGAGCTTACAGGTGTTTCGCAAAGGAAAGCAGGATGAACGTGTAAAAAGTTGTTAAATACATAATTAATTCTTGTCTGTTTGTCACTGTAATCTGGCTCACTGCAAAAACAACCTGTATTAAAAGAAAAAAAAAAACAAAACAAAAACACCCAAACAACAAAACAGTATTAGGAAAAAAAAATACATGAAACCCACTATACCCTATGTTGTTATGAAGCTGAGCTCTTGTTTTAATTTAGATTGAGAACACTCCTCTCTGCTCGAGTGCTGTCTTTCCCTGCTCTTCCTGTCCTATTGCGCATTCCAACATGTTTTTCCTGGGGATGGTGAAAGAAACTTTGTACTGCAGTGGGGTAATTCCTCTAGTGTATGGTATGAGTACACTGCACAGTGGCTTGACTTAGAAATGGATATTTAGTTCTAATGACTATTGTTACAGTGTGGTTTTGTTTCTGGCTGTGAACCCTTTTAAAAATAAGCATGGCTCACAAAACTTGACTTTGACTCACACAGGACCAGTAAGAAATGCAATGACTCCTCAGGCTGTTCTTGCTAATTAGACGAAATAGCTCCACATAGCTTTTCAAATTAAATTTAGCCCTCTTTTGTGGACATTCTTCCTTCCTAACCTTGAGCACAAGTCTCTTTTCCAGTCACTTCCACAGTCCCTTAATGTCTTTGGGATAACGAAGCAGTTGGTGTCAGAGGTATTATTAGGCTCTTCCAGATCTACTTCAGTGCAATAAACAAGCTATCCTTTCCATGAAGGTCAGGATGGACAGAAAAGGAAGAATCATATTATCTTGAGTCCAATTTCAATTTTCTCCTCCAGCCTCTCTTGGGCCTTTCTGTTAGAAGTCAGAAAGATCTCTCTTCTGATTTCCACTAGTAGACTACAGAACGGATAGAAATCCCTGGTTAAGAAACAGGGCTGGAGAACAGGAAAGAAGGGACTATGTTTATGTCTTTGACTTCCTGTAAGCTTGGGCAAGTCATTCAACTTCTCTGTGCCTCATTTGTCCCTGTCTGTCAAATGGGGCCAATGCCTTTGTAAAGCATTTTTGGCTCTTCAGGAGACCAAGAGCCATGCACGCAGGTGTTAGAAACAGCATTAGGACATCATGGGAGAGGAGGAGCACTCGCAGTAGGTAACCACAGATCTGAGAGCACCAGAACCAACCAAACCTGTGGAGGGCTTTGTTGGGGGCGATGGCAACTACACACTAATAGTGCTGTAAATGCTAAAGTGCTCTCTCATTAACACAAAGTGCCACTGCTCAGCTCTCTGTAGAGTAAATTCAGACAGTGCAATGGGAAAATAGTGGCTTGTTATAACACGCCATGTTGCTCATATGTGCGTGTGTGTGTTTTGTAACATAGGCCAAAGTGCAGAAGGGGAAGGTGGTCCTGCTATGAAGAAAAAAAATAGTCTCACCATTCTATCAACCTTATCTGATGTAAGGAAAAAGAAATATTGATATACACATTTGCAGTGCTGCAATGGTATGGCACTGCTTTCAGCACTTTAAGCTCATATATCTTATTCACATACATATCTAAAATTTGTATGTAAAGGATACAGTATAAACAGATTTGATGTAGGTCAAAGATAAATTACACATTTTCCTGTATTTCAAACTTCCATCTTGCCTGGCTGTTGTTTCAAGTGGGAGTTGAAATATTTAATGGAAACATTTACAACTCCAAAAAAGTATAAGAACATAAGGCAACACTGAAGAGAGATTATCTGCTAGGCCACTTTATTGATCTTTTTGACAGAGGCCTAGACCATTCTTTTGGGTTGCTTTTAGTTATCTACCTTGGTTCTCCTTCTCCATCACTGTCTATATCAACATGCTCTGTCTGCATAGAGCAAAATGTTCTGCTAGTATGCTCATTTGCCAGGCAGGAATGCTTCCATTTGTGTCTCCCATCTTTAGGGTATTTTATCTCAATATGTACAAATCTCTAAGTTTAGCCAGACAAAAATAATAATAATAACAATAATTGTAAAAAAATCTACTATTCTTGGGTGGCTGGTTTCTGAGCCATGTGGAAAAGTACAAATTATCAAACCTAGATTTGCAACTGCAAAAAGCTCTTCTGACAACCGTAACCTGCTGTGTCTGTTATCTGCCACTACTGGTGATGAACCAAGACAGCCTGGATTTGGCAGAAGCAGTGACCAGGGCTGAAACTTGATCTATTTCATAATTGTGTTTTTATATTTTTGGTTTTGGTTTTTTTTTTAAGCACACCTTCTTCTCTTTTCTTATTCTCCCAAGATGCTCAAATTTTTGCTCATGTAATGTAAATAAAGGAAAATCATCCAACAACCCCTGAAACGTTCCTAATTGCCTACATATAAAATGACTTGAGGAAAATAAATTGAAAAGTGGTCAGTGAGAAGGGAAACTGTGGGGAAGAGAAACAAACAGGGACTGTGGCAAGGTTTCGCCTGTATAGATTTTAAAGTACTTTAAAGGCTTTTTTCAACGTAATATGCAGCAGCTTCTTATAATTTTCTCAGCAGTAGGTAGTTTACAGTCATCGGTACCTAGAACAAATCTTGTCAAAAATGAAGGTCTGTAGTGATTGCTGGGTATAATTTTATACATTTAGCTGATTTTACTGAAAGCTTCCACTGTGCTGCTGTTGTCAGACTAAATTATCAATTTAGCCATTTGTTGTTTAATGAATAAAAACTCCTATGGCATTGGAGATGTTGTGGTTTCAATAAAGCAAAAGCTTTAACAACTCAAACTACAGAAAGCAAAGTGTGTACTCTATATAAGAACAGTGTTTTTATTCTTTTAAATACCACTTTAGATAAAAAAAGCCAATTACATATTCACTTAACACATTTCTCCTACTTCAGCCCAATGATGCAGACCAAACCTGTTTACTGTTCAGTACCTTGCAAAAGGAAACCAAAATACAATATGTGCAAGGTAATAGGCCATTAGCACAAACATGCTCCCAGTAAAAATCTTTTGTGTAGGCACCTTTTAGAAGCTGCCAATTGTAGGTGAGAGAAGTATTATAAAGGAAATGATTTTAATACTATTTAAGGCATTAAAAGCTGAAGAGTATCTGTTTAAAGCTTTAAAGTAAGAGCTGCATGTATCTAATACCTTTCAAAATGCCCTTCTGCTGATTTATATTCATCCTGAACCTGCTAATAATGAGTGTACATAAGCAAATACCATCTTCCACCTATTCAGCATGTCATTGATATGAAAGCCCCAGAAAATATCTCACGTAATCAGTGTGTTCAGAGAGTTATCTAGCACAAATTACTCATTAACTCAATAGCACATAATAAAAAAGAACATCAATTAATTAATGAGTCACCCTCAGATCACTTTGATTACAACACAGCTCTGTTGAAACAGCATTTATAAATGGGGCTGCCTCTCTTTATTCATTGTTTGCAATTGGCCCATTATTTTGCAGAGACCAGTGTCATATTTAACACATGCCTGCAGGTAATTGTGTGATAAGTTTCATAAATGAAGATGCAGAGGGAGAACACGGAGTCTCTTGCTCTGCAGCTGAGTCTGAAGATGCAGGAATCCACCTTATACCTCCTGCAACCTGCCAAGCCAGTAGACCCCTCTGCAGTGGCCACAAGGCCAGGCTGCCTCCAGACTGCAAGGTCCTAGTGACAGGACAACACTCAGAATCAGTCACACTTAAGCTCTACTTTAATCTAAAGATCTCAAAGCCCTGGGCAAACACTTTTGATTTGGGCCTCCCTCCCCCGTGAATGTCAATCTCTTCTCCCAAGCATCAAGCAACAGGACAAGGGGAAATGGCCTCAGGTTGTGCCAGGGCAGGTTTAGATTGGGTATTAGCAAAAAATTTTTCACTGAAAGGATTATCAAGTACTGGAACAGGTTGTCCAAGGAACTGGTGGAGTCACCGTCCCTGAAGGTATTTAAAAGATGTGTGGATGTGGCATTTTGGGATATGGGTCAGTGGTGGTTGTGGCAGTGCTGGGTAACAGTTGGAATCAATGATCTTAGAGGTGTCTTCCAGCC